GTTAACCATGACTAATTCAGACTATCCCAACTGTAAAGAAAGAAGTTTTGTAACAAAAAGGAGGGAGTAATTAATCTTACAGTCCCAAACAGAAGACCTTAGGACCATCAAGGAAGACAAAGCATGACTGGAATATGGGACCCTATCCAGAGAAGTAGCGACACCAGAGATGGAGACATGGATAGATAGAGCAGCTGAGGACTCTCAGACTCATGGAAAGAGACAGGCTGTGTGCTGGCAGCCAGGAGGCAGGTGTGCAGAATGTGCCCTTTGGTTGTTTAAATGATTATATATTCCTTAGTGTTTTTGTGTACATCAAGGGGGAAAAAAAGGGGCAAAGAAGAAAATACTGTTGTATGGTGATGTATGGAAGGGACTGTAATCATTGTCATGAAACAAAACACTACAGGATGAGTGCAAAACTGATGTTCTCCCATGTAAACTATTCCTCAATGCACAATAAAAGCTTTAAAAAAGTAAGGATGGTAAGGTGCTCTATAGCACATAGAAATAAGTGAAAGAGAGATGTGACTGGACACCTGATGGAGATCAAGCTCTGTATTATAGGACTTAGATGTGTTGTTTACACATTTAATCCTCAGAATAGCCATGTAAGACAGGTGCCTGCCTGTTTAAGACACATGCTCAAAATCATAGACTAACAAGTGGGCAGAACTAGATATAAAATCCAGGGGCAAAAAAAAAAGGTCTGAATTTGAGCAAGAGTCTCAATCTAACTATCAATACATAGATAATGCAGAGGACAGAAGAATTGGTTAGATGGTACCATAGAAGAATGACCAGCAAATTAAGCACTCCAAAATCCTATAAGTTTGATTTTTTTACATATAAACTGTAAGAAAAAATAAAGAGGGGAGAAAGAAGACACCACTTGGGTATTAAATGAGATTTAAGTAACACAAGCCAGTTTCCTGGGAGTAAACAGTAAAGTTATAGAACGGAAACATGCTCAAATGCTGACCAAGAGAAAGTTCAAAAATCAACCATCAGCTGGAAAATTGATGCTTAGTTTTTTGGTATTCTCAAGAGTCAATATTGGAACACTACCAGGAAAAAGGTTCAACAATCAACAGTACTCCTCACAGTAAGATGTGCACTAAGGAGCTGAAGCTTAAACTTAAAACATGTTGTTGTTGTTAGTGCTAGCGACCCTGTATAGAGTTTCCGAGGAGTGGCTGGTGAGTTTTAACCACTGACAATGACGTTTAAAGCAAAGTGCCACACCAGGACTCCAGGATTAAACATAGAGGGCTGCTACCCAAGGACACTGTGATCTTGCCTGACAATGCACTCCCGCATACCTCTGTCCACACTGATGACACTATACAAAAACTTTGTTTTGAAGTGTAAGAGCATCCTCCCTATAGTCCTGATCTGGTGCCATCCGACTTTCACCTGTTTGGTTCCCTGAAAGCAGCCCCTTGAACCTCTGATGAAGAAGTGAAGACAGCAGTGCATCTGTGGCTTGCAGATCAGTCTAAAACATTTTTAAAAAAGGGAATATGAAAACTTGTTGACAGGTAGACAAAGCATATTGAAAAGCAAGGAGATTATGTTGAAAATAATGTCTTTGTCTATTCTAAAATTTGATTAAAATAAATTCTACAGCCAAAGTGTGGATAATTTTTGACTCACCCTTGTGCAACATCTACTTTTATGTATGTTTGTGTTATAAAGTGTGAAGGAAGTTCTGTTCTGTGCTTTTGGTTGCTGTAGGTCAGAATGGACTCTGTGTGTTTGTGTGCTGAGGGCAAATGCAGTTGTGTTTGCACAGTGACAGAACTTTCTCTGGGTCCCCATAACGTGCTGGGTGTGGTTACTACACATCTGTCAATGCCACAGTCACTTCTACAGCAAACAGCTTTTATACACCGTTCGCCCAGAGGAGGGAAGCATTCTAAGTTCTAACTATCATGTTGTCCTTCTGCCAAATGGAATATTCTCTAAAATCCAATACCATGAAGTAGATTCCATCACATGGTGGCATGCTATCAAATCAGTTTCAACTCATAGTGACCTCGTATGGGTTTCTGAGGCTATAAATCGTTATGGGAATAGAAAGCTTTATCTTTCTCCCACAAGTGGCTGATAGATTTTAATTGTTTAACCTTGTGGTTAGCAGTTCAACTTCTACCCTAATATGCTACCAGGGCTCCTATTCTGACTCATGGAGACCCTATGTAGGATTGCTGAGGGGATAAGTCTTTTTTTTTTTTAAATGTTTTATTACGAACTATGTGATAGTTTACATGGGAGAACATCAGTTTTACATTCATCCTATTGTATATTGTTTCATTGCCATGGTTACAATCCCCTCCATTCATCATCAACCAACCAAAGGGTATATACCCTACAAGCCTGCCCTCCCCCGGTCGTCAGCACACAGCCCCTCTCTCTCTCTCTCTCTCTGGGTCTGAAGTCCCCAACTGCTCCATCTCTCCACGTCATCATCTCTGCCTCCATCTCAGGCATCACTGCTTCACTGTGTAGGGTCCTGCTCTCCACTCTTCTCCCTCCAAGGACCTCCGCTCCTAGACTGCAAAGTTAGTCACTCCCCTCCTTGCTACAAAACGTCTACCTTTACATTTCCAACCCTCACAGTCAGTCCTGATAATAATTATTCACTACTGTATCACAAGAGACCTATACACATTTCCTTTAATCAGCCCCACCTAGACAGACTGGATACTACTCAGTGGGGATTCTACCTTCCTTCACGCCCTCTGAATCTAGGTTCCCTCTTGAAATATAAGTCTTAATGGAAGTAGACAGTCTATCTTTCTCCAATGGAGCAGCTAGTGGGTTTGAACTGCTGACCTAGCAATCAACAGCTAACCCACAACACCACCGTCTTCTTTCCTCTTAAACATCCCTCTTTTATTCAAATATTCCAGACCCACCCCATTTCAAAACATACTTTCTCCAACTGCCGAATACAAAACGTAAAAAAAACAACAAAGGGCCAGAAAGCTGAAGATGGGAATAGGAGGGATGAATAAGAACAAAGCAGCTTATTAAACACAGAGCACTGCTACCAAAGGACACTGTCATCACAGAATAATGTGATGAAAGCCACAGAAGGAAGTTAAGATCATTTGGACCTCCAATTTTTAAGTTCCACAGAAAAGCTACAGAAAACCCTACTACGACCCTGCAAAAAAGACTGAGCAGGTTGTGAAATGATCAACCTTTATGGGGGAAGAGGAGTCTGTTAAGTGTCATTTTCACTGGTTCCAAGACAGTGGCCCATTCCTAAGCTGGAGCCTTACTAAAAGAAAATGAAGCTACCATCAGGCCACAGGCACTTTTACTGTTCATCCAAGTGCTTTGAGAGCTCAGAACAGGTGTAAAGGAACCATGGGAGCAGTAAAGCTGGCAGGCAGAGGCCAGAGTATAAAAGAGCCCTTCCTAACCTGTGATCATTATTCTTCTGGAAAACTCATTCATTTTTTTCACTGATAGTACAAGTTTTCTGAGGTTGCACGGTTCATATGATCCGGTAATAGAAAGCACACTCACTCTGTGTTCCCTTCAGAGTAATTTCACCTAAAATGAACCTACAATTAGGAGTTTGTGGACAGCTGCCATCTTCAGTAAGTGTGGAGGTGGTGGTGGTGGTGGTGGTGGTGGTGGTGGTGTGCTGTGGAATCAGCTCTGACTCACAGAAACCCTGAGGCTGTAATTCTTTACTGGAGCAGAAAGCCCACTCTTTCCCCAGCAGAACAGCTGGTAGTTTCAAATTGTTGATCTTGAGATTAGCTTACCAGTTTGTAACCACTACGCTACAGAGCTCTTTGGGCCTTATTCAGTATGAGGCCACATTCACGTGAGGCTCACCCTCAGGGAAGACCCAATGGGTATTTTAATCATTTAAGTAACTCAAAGGTCCAGGACAGAGTGCGAAAAAGCATGGAAAAAAAATCAAATTCCTAAAAAAGATGAGACTTAGTGGACTGATAAGAGACTATGACCCTTGATCCCCCTTCAAACCTAAAATGGAACTCACTACTGGGAATCACCATGAAAGAAAAAATACAGGCCCCTAGAATGAACAATAATAGCCAGGAGGAATGTGCTGCTCAAAACATTCAACTATACAAGACTTAAAAAAAGGGCAGCATTTACACAGAATTAAATTCAGATGTCAGGCAGTGAATGGAAAAAGGGAACCTGGGTGGAAGCAGAGTTAAGTGCTGACACATTCAGGAGACTGCAATCATCGTCAGGAAACGATCTATGTATAAATTATTGAATGAGAAGCCAATTTGCTTTGCAAATTTTCACCTAAACCACAATAAAACTTGCTAAATAAATAAATAAATCACTGCACACTTGTTTGTCACTTGGAGAACAACTCTGTGTTTGCTGGAAGGACAATAAAAAGTGCAGGACTGAATGGCAGCAGAGCCTAAGGGCTCAAGTGGAGCTCACTCTTCTGCCCTGGCTGATCATGCTATGAAATGAGCATGCAGAACTCTTATAAACTGGGGACAGAGGTCTTTAATCGGAGTCTTATTTAAGGCCCTGGTGGGGGGGAAGCTGTGAGACACTGCTTTCAGGAGCTGCCAACTCAGTTCTATGTCAAATCGTCACTTTCTAGACACTACTGTGCACCCCCCACCCCGGGCTCTTTACAGACCACACCTCAGCTAACTGGCAGGTGAGCCACCTGGGAGACGGTTGCATATCCCTAAGTCAGGATGCCAACTGGGGAGAGTTAGAATGTCATACTCCAGCTCCCCTGCATTCCACATCTCTAGAGTCAAACTATCACAAGCCCTGACTCTAAGCCATCAATTCTTTTCATGCCACTCCTCCGTTATCAGCAAATACCTTTGTCTATTTTCCTTCACCCTGACAAACTCCTTAGCTCTCTGCAATCCTACTAAACCATCCCAATTTTTGCAAGCTGACTCTTCATTCAGTTCTCACGGGAGCAGTCAAGCAGGGTGGTCCTACAGGAAGCCCCAGGAGAGCACCTTTCGGGTGATTGCATAGTGTCCTTTGAGCTCATGCAGGGCCCACTTGATGTCCTGACTGCTGAGCATCTTGAAGTCGGCCATCAGGAGGTCAGCAGCTTGGATGAAGCAGCGCTGGTCAAGAGGAGCCAGTTTAGAATATTCAAAAAAGTCTATTTTAGGCAACTGAAAGAGAGAGAAGCATAAATTTAGCAGCTAGACAGTGCACTGCCCCAGATGGGGATCACACAGAGAGTCACATATTACAGAAAAGAACTGTCTCACTCAGTGTCAGAATTACTCTGGAAGGAGGTGCCTAGCCTGTGACAGGTAAGAGGGAGTGGGGCCCAGACAACAAACAGCTTGTCTGGAATCCAGAGGTATACCTGGGGATTAGAACACAATGTTTTAACATCTTCTCTCCATCAAATGTTTAGAAAAATCTGTTTTTCCTGCTACAGTAAAATATGTAACAGAAATCAGGAAACAATCTGTGGGGAGTGGAAGATCAAGCTATAAACCCTAATGAAGCTAGTGTGAACTCATTTTTTCTTCACCATTCAATACGCTAAATGTTAGGTTCGATCACAAAGCAGGCAATAATTAAGATTTTAAAAAATTAAACCATTTATATCCTGATAAAGGATTTGGTTACGGGTGTGTGAACTGTGCTTCAGGAAGGCTTAAAGGGAAAGGGGGGAAAAACTATCATCAGATATTGAACTTTAGTTAAATAGCTGCATGCTATTGTATGAAGGAAGTACATTGATGTTTGCAATTTACTTCAAAATGCCTTTTAAAAAAAAAAGGATGAACAGAAGGAAGGATACATAACAAAGAATTACAGTAAAATGCTAACATATAGTAGTCCTGGTGGTAGGTATATAGGTTTTCAATAAAAGATGTTAACTATAAGGAAGCTTCAAAAGGTTTATGGGAAAATGGAATGAAAAAACAATGAAATTTTTACATGAAATTCCTGAAACCCCCCTTTTTTAGAATTCAAAGCACAACTTCAAGTTAATTTTAACTGTTTCAGCCATGACCTGCAAAGCTAAATTGAAACAGGCCCAAATTTCGTAACTTTTCATGATCTGGTTAGCTAAGGATAAGACAAAAAGTGTTGCTACTAGGGTTCCAAACAAAACATGACTAAATAGGTCGCTGCTGTGGTCAGTTAATGGCTACAGATAGGTTTTCATAGTAACACATTTGTCTTACTCTCCTTAGGGTTCCTTTTTTTTTTTTTTTTTAAAAAAAAGGCCCAATCAAAACAGTGGTTTTGAGGGGATCTGCTGGGCCAATTAAACTCAAGGCAGAGAGGTCGACTTAGGTATGGCAACTGTTTTAGAATTCCAAAAGGTGATCTTGATAAATTTTCTCAAAGGACACAAGATCACAGAAGCTCACTAGAAAATAAGGTTTAAAAATCTGAAAATGGCATTGATGATAAAAAGTTCAAGATAATTTCATTGAGGAATTCTCTCCCTCACAACAATAACGATGCACCTGCTCACTCTTTAAAAGTAGCAAGGGCTGTCCTACAATTTTGTTGGGAAACTTTACCACATCCACCCTGTAATCCTGACCTTGCCTCTTCAGACTTCTTTTTATTTCCTAAACTCAAAAAACACTGAAAAGGAACTCCATCACTAAGGACACTAAAATTGCTATTTTGATGTGGTACACATTGAAGAACACTGAATTCTTCAGGGAGGGGACAGAGAGCTAGACCAACTTCAGAAGTTTATAGAGATGGAGGGTATGTTCAGCAATAATAGCTTCACATTTTGATAGTTCTGTTTAATAAAGGTTACTATGATTCTGTAGCACTACTTTATTACTTGCCCTCATACATATTCTGCACTCCTACTTATCCCACTAGTCTTTAAAACTACCCTGACAGGGCACTTTCTTGCCCTATAGATGCTGAAAAGAGTAGAGCATTTCCAGGTAGAGACAGCAAAACAAGAGCATAACACTTGCCTTTGTCTCATCTTGGCTGGCAAGCAGGCTGCTACTGGGGTTTATAATGACTCTATCCTCTCTCTTTGGATAATCTGGGTTTTCCAGAAGAAAATTACAGAGTCTGCAACAACAAATGATGTTACTTTCATGCTGCTTCCAAACCCCACACCTGCCCAGATTCCAATGCAATATTCAAAACAGAAAATACCAATTCACGTGTTGTAATCGAACTATCAAGGTGTTAAATATTTGTAGCCCAGAAAATTTAAACAGACAGACAGACAAAAAAGTCACTGACATGGACATTCTCATTTTGCTTGGTAGCTGACCAAGCAATGGGCACATAGATGACTGCAGGCTCCTCTGAGGTTTAGCTGTTAGATGGGAGCTAATGCAATGAAGTCACTGAAAATACGAATGGTTAAACTGTGGAATTAAAAAATTTGGATGAATAGTAATTATTGTTGGTTAAGAAAATTATGAACAATTAAGTGTGGAAAAGCATGTTTTGTATTCACAATTAAAGGTTTGCTAAGAGAGTTAATATATGAAAATAAATGGCTTTCTGTTAATAATACCTTTTTATAGCCCTATTTAATTATACACATTCATCAGCAATACGCTGCATTGCAAGGTTGGTTTGAACTGCAAGGCTGGCGGTTCAAGCTTACCAACCACTCCTTAAAAATAGGGTTGCTATGAGTCGGAACTGACTCCATGGCACTTGACGACAAAATCAGCAACTTGAGTTCCACTCAATTTCACTCACTACAGGCTGAATGAACACACCAGGTTTTGGTAAGCTCAAACTCTCCTGGTACCAAACCCATTAGCCATGTCTCATTATTATTATTATTATCCATTTCTGCAAACAAGCAGAATACTTTCTGTTATAATGGCTTAAGGAAGACTGTGCCATTAACATCCTGACCAAAACATGGGTAGTCTCAATGTTTCGCAACATCAAAAATCTTCTTTCCATACCCAGGAAGTTAAATCCAGAAATGGTTTGTATATAAAGGAGGATTCAAAAAGTTTGTGGAAAATGGAATAAAAATACAGCGCAATTTTTTCCCTAAACTTTTTGAAGCCTCCTTAATAGAGTAACAACCAACAATAAAACCAAAGGGCAGCATATGCTCAGGAATACAGCTCAGAAGGCAGAAAGCAGCAGGAAAGGACAAAGGCAAATGGCAAACACAAGGAAGAAGTGGGAAGAGTGTTGTTACACTGTGAAGATTATGATCAATGCCACAAATGAACGGTAAACCAATGTGCTCTGTAAACTTTCATACAAATCACAAATAAAAAAGTTTAAAAGATAAATTAACAAGACTTGGAGGTATACTTACACATTCAAGTCATAATAATTCTTCAAACGGATTACTTCCTCAACATACCCATTTGCTACATCTGGAAATCTTGCTTCCTGGCAAGGCATAAGAAAATTATTTGTATCATTCATTGGAATGGTTTCAAATAGCAGTAAAAACCAGAATACACAAAGGAAATAAAATGACTATAAAGACTGAAAGGCAGGAAGGTGTTGTTGTTGTTATGTGTCGTGGAGTCAGTTCTGACTCACAGCAACCCTGTACAGGGTTTCCAAGGCTGTAAATCTTTATGGGAACAGAAAGCCTCATCTTTCTCCCGTGGAACAGCTGGTAGTTTTGAACTGCTGACCATGAGATTAGCAGCCCGATTCGTAACCACTATGCTACCAGAGCTCCTTCGGAAGGTGTAGGCCTGGCTTAAAATTCAACACTATGTCCCCAGCTTACCTGTCTACATAGAATAACCAATCTAGAAAGGTCCTTAGAGATCATCTGGTCTTCTGCTCTCATTTTGCATATCCATCCTTTTTCTTTCAAAAAGTTTTGAGCATTTCTGCCCAGACAAAATTACTCCAAAGACAAATAAGCTTTAACCTAGTGCCCACCTTCATGGTGTGCATGAACATTCTGGCCAATGCTCTTAATAGCATCGCTATTGCCAAGTGGCGAGGGAAACACGAGGTTCTGATCCAGCTGTGCTCCAAAGTCATCATCCAGCTTCTGGCTGTGACGATGAAGCATAGATACATTGGCGAATTTGAAATCAATGGGAAAATTGTTGTGAACCTCACAGGCAAGTTAAACAACTGTGGCATGATCAGGCCTTGATTTGACCTGCAGCTCAAAGACATAGAAAAATAGTTTCACTATATTGATGACCTCAGCTGGCATCATGTATCACAAGGAAGCAAGTTGAAAACATACAGGAGTGAAAATCCTGGGGGTTTTTTTCTAAGGGATGTAAATACAAAAAAATAAAATGCTTCAATGGACCAAAAAAACCCCTAAGGAACTTAGTTCTCTCTGTAACACACTCCATGATAGTGAACAAATTATTAACTCCACATGGCTTGTTTGATTCTGACTCTTATCAACCTAGTACAGGGTTTCTGAGGCTGCAAATCTTTCTAAGAGCAGAAAATCTCATCTTTCTTATGGGGAGCAGCTGTTGGGCTCAAACTGCCAAAGTTGTGATTCACAATCCAGTGCTTATCCTACAGAGCCACCATGTTCCCATATGGCTACTGAACACGTAAAATATAACAAGTGCTATTGGAAAGTAAATTTTAAATTTAACTATACAGCATTCAAAGAGAGTCACGTGGGGCTCAATGCTACCATATTGGACAGCATGATTCTAGATAATCCAGGTACACTTGGAGTATATTTGGAGTCAACTCAAAAGTCTTTAAAAAAAGAAACAAAACTGTGGGGACTGCTGATATGACAGCACAATCTGCAGCTAGAATCCTAGAAAACTTCCCAGGGGTTAAATATTTAAACACACACATGGAGTTCTGGTGTGGTGCTGCAGAATAATGCACTGAACTGCAATGTTGATTTTAATTGCAAAGTTCAAATTCACCAGCTCCTTCTTGGAAGCACTATACAGGGTCACTATGAGTCTGAACTGACTCAACTGCATTTAACAGATACATACATACCTCTTTAGGAAAATATTCAGGTAGTACACACACACACACACACACACAAAGTTTTTGGAATGAAAACTCAATATATCTAGTTCTACAGTTTGTTTATTCAGTAAAATTAAACTTACCGTTTCTTTCACTAACAATGCAATGAGTTCTTGATCTACTTCAGAAGCTCCTTGTCCCCAAATGTTTTCCAAATTGGGCTCCTGAGATCCTTGCAGTGGAAAGGCTGGCCCTGGCTCATCATCATCTATTGCTAATTGTTGATCTTCAAGTTCTCCTATAGGATGAGCAGGCTGAGGAGAAGAGGGACCTGAAATCCCATCGTGCTGGGGTTCTGGCCTGGGGAAAGCTGGCCTGGAAAAAGCTGGCCCTGGGAGTTCATGTTGATACAACAGTGGACCCAGTTCTGCTTCAGGATGCCGTTCCTGAGGGACAACCTGGCTTGCTCTCTCACGATTCTCTTGGTTTAGAGACTGGAGATAAGGATGATTTAACCAGCAGTCTTCCTCGATGGCCTGATCATCTCCAAGCTCTGTCTCTGAGTCTTCAGATGACTGGTTCAGAGGGTCACTTTCTGAATAAAGGTTACTGTTTTCCAAGATGATTTTTCGTTCTGATATAGGGTTGATAATGTCACTGTCTACTTGGCTATGACTTGGTCCAGGTTGGGGTTCTCTTCCTCTTTGGCCACTTGATTTAGTGAATTCAGAGACTCCAGGAAGTCCAAGATTCAGAAATTCATCGTAGTCATCCTCAGAATCATCCTGTGCCCCAGAATCAAATAATGGGTTGTTACACACTGAAAAATAGTTCTTATCTGATTCAAAAGCTGCTCTAGACTTTTTGTGCCTTTCTTCTCCCAATCTTTTCAGATCTTGCCATTGGGCAGCTGGTTTGATGAGATTGGGTCGTGATGTCTGAGGTTTATTTGTCTATGAAAAAATGAAATTTTAATAATAATAATGGTCAATTTCTCCCCCCTAGGTCTATGCCGCCTTCTGTACTTACTCTGAGCTTCTGAGATAGGAAAACTACAAAAATATAAACCAACCCTTCAAATAAAACGTATTCTTCATATTTATCTTAACACTGAACTTTGATCAAACTATAGTAATTTTAAGAATAAACATGTCGATATATAAGTTGAAACTTGAGTTACAGTTTAAAGACAGGCCAGATAGCATCCCTCAAGAAAGTTAGAGTCCACTGAAAAGTTACTATAGACAATAAAAATAAGGTGATGGAATATGATAAGTAACATAAATAACAACAGACTTCTAAGTAAAACACATGAAAAGTTACAACAAAAGAAACGTCATTTGCAAAAGCAAAAACAAATAAAAATTTAAGAAAATGTTTCAGATTTATATTAAGAAAAATTCAGTACATCTTGGCTAAGGAAGAAATATAAAAGCTGACTAGACTAACTATAAAGATAAAACTTGTTCTGAGTTAGAAAGGATCAAAATTATAAAGACTGTAAGTATAATAGCAATATTATACTCATTACTTATCTACCTGCCTATCTCTCTTCGACTCAATTTTGGTACTAGAAAACCTGATTATAAAAATCATATAACAGAATAAACAAGACGGCGGATCGGGTGGAAGTACAGTGAGGAGCTCCATCAGCAACACAGAATACTGGACCAAGCAGATTCAGGGGATGGCCACAGAACTCTGAATCACATATAAAGGATTATTTAAAAAGGTTGGAAGACTTACAGCTAGGGGAATTTGTAGCAGAAGCAAGAAATCAAGTGATTTCTAATTCAAGATGCTCAGCTGCTACGGGAGCCACCATATTGGGAGAGTCCAGGCGGGGGGAGGATCAGAGCAGCCACGGATGCCTGACAGAACCACAGAAATAAAAGTGTGGACATTCTTTTTTTTTAATTTTATATATTCATTGGTCTCTCGCTGTCTACACACCTCCATTCAAGTGAGTAGAGGGGGTGCCTGAGTGAGTGGACACCCCACCCCCACCCCAGAGGGTTCCACTACATATGCGTATAGATCTGCTCAAAATTTAAAGGAACAGTTTCCAATTAAAACCAAATGGCAGAGCAAAACGGCCACAGCCGGCCCTAAACTGTTTATCACTAGGAAAAAAAAAGACCTGAACAGGGGTTTTTGAGCACGAAAGGCAGACTAAAAAGGACTTACGCTGAAAAATTAAATCCTAAGTTACATCATAACGACCAACTGTGGCATCATGAAATTTCTCAAGTAGAAGAGTGAAAAGGGAAGCCCATATCCTGATCACATCTACCTGGAGGCAATCAGAAAGCATAAAAAATACCAAAATACACACCCATCTAAGCATTAAGGCCATAGCTAACTCCTGGATATACCCAAATACCAGAAACTGATGACCGTATCAGCACATGTCCAGAAATGAGATCAAGTGACTGAGGCAAATGAGTTGGAAGTAGACCTACACTACTGGAAGATGGGAAGGCTTTGGAAATGCCTGAGAAGGAATTCAGAAAAATGATTATAAAAAGTACCAAACCACTTTACAATGGAGTTGAGAAAAACAAGGAAGAAGTCAGGAAAGTGCTACGGGAACAATCAAATAAGATAGATACAGCATTGGAAACAATTCAAAACCTACAGAAAGAGGTGCAAACAATTAATAATAATATATCAGAAATGGATAATACACTGAAAAGGCAAAAAAACAGAAATGAAGAAATAGAAGCCAAAACTAGTAAGCTAGAAGATAAATCTCTCAACACTACTAAGACAGAAGAACAAACACAAAAAAGGATTAAAAAAAAAAAATTCTAAAGAAGCCCTAAGATTCATGTTGCACAATATGAGAATTATCTGTATTCCAGAACAAGAAGAAACACACAAGTTCACAGAGGAGATAGTAGAAGAGCTTCTGGAAGAAAATTTCCCTAACATCCTGAAAAGCGAATAGATAAACATTTAAGAAGCTCAACGAACCCCAGGAAGGATAGACCCTAAAAGATAATCAATCACCAAGACATATAATAATCAAGCTCTCCAAAGTCAAAGTTAAGGACAGAATCCTGAAAGCAGCTAGGGAAAAGATAAGTGTAATACACAAAGGCAAGCAAATCAGATTAAACTCAGATCTCTCAACAGAAGCCATGCAAGCAAGAAGGCAATGGGGAGACATACATAAAACCCTGAAAGAAAAAAAAAACTGCCAATCAAAAATCTTCTAACCAGCAAAGGTGTCAATCAAATATGATGGTGTAATCAAAACAAGATGGCGGATCGGGTGGACGTATAGCAGAGAGCTCCTCCAACAACAACTAAGAATACCCGACGAAGCTGTTCAGGAGATGGTCCCAGAACTTTGAACCACATATAAAGGAATACGTAGAAGTTTGGAAGGCTCACAGCTGGGGGAATTTGTGGCAGAAGCAAGAAACCCATTGCTTTCTAGTCCGGGACGCTTGGCTGCTCCAGGAGCC